CCGCTCGTGACCGGCCGCCAACTGGATCTGTTGAATCATGCATTTCTTAATACTGGAAGTACATTGTGTGCAATTATTTTTTTTTTAATCGAGTTCAAAAGTTTAAACCAGAATTTTTTTATTCATATTTTGCTGTTAGCACAACATGGCAATGTAGCATTACAACTTTGCATCTGTGAGAGATAATAGCATTACCTGGACTACTAATTACCAATTAGTAACTGATATTTTAGGAGCTTCTCAATATTTCCCTTTCTGCTTTCCTAATTACTCTTTCTTTTCACATCTTTCATAGATTTATTAGTGTTAAATTATAGAATCATAGAATTATTTTGGTTGGAAAAGACCCTTAAGATCATCGAGTCCAACCGTTAACCTAACACTGCCAAGTTCACCACTAAACCATGTCCCTAAGCACCACATCTACACATCTTCTAAATACCTCCAGGGTTGGTGACTCAACCACTGCCCTGGGCACCCTGTTCCAATGCTTGACAACCCTTTTGGTGAAGAAATTTTTCCCAATATCGCAAGTATTTAAGTTTGCTTCAATTCCCTGGCGAGCTAAGCTTTCAGTGAGGCTGCTACTGTTTGGATCTGCTTACACAGATGCAGATGCAGTCTCAGTAGGGAGAGACACAGGGCACCAAACTGGGGAGGCGATTACACAGCTATTACTGTGTTATGTTGAATTGGAAGGACTTGAACCCTCTGCTCCCACAGAGGTTCTGACTGGGTATCAGGAAAACCTTTTTCACCATGAGGACAGACAAGCAGTAGAACAGGTTGTGCAGTCTCCGCCTTTGGAGGTTATCAAGACCCAACTGGATAAAGTCCTGAGCAACCTTGCCTGACCTCATAGCTTTGAGATCAGGAAGTTTGACTCAAATGAAGTCCATTACGATCTCAATTTTTCTATGAATCTGTGAAATTTCAGTTTTATGACCCGACTCATAATCTTTCCAGCATTCAGAATATATTAATGTTTTTAATGTAATGAAAGTTGCTCTTAATTGAATACTTTTTTAGCTTTGTTCTTTTTCGTATTGTTAAATATATTATTTAATCCACTGCATTCTATGATGCATTCCATGTTTGGTTGCATTTTAAAATAAAGTATCTATTTACAGACAACCATCTTAGTTTTCAGTAATTGTTTTTTAATCCTGTAAGTGGACAAGGCTAATGACCCATTTTGCAAAGGTTGCCTTCATAAGTATTTTAAAGCATTACTTTAAAAAATTCTCTGCTGTAGATTCTGACTGTTTCCAGATGAAAAAATATTTGCTTTGGAGTTGAGACAACTGTATACTATTAAGGCATTAAGATCTAATATTTTGGGGGAGGGAGATGCTGATAATTTTGGATTGCTTTGCATATAAGACTTGAGTTGAAGTAACAGCATCAGTTCTCTCAAGTGTCAGATTGACTTTGTTTACAACTAATAGTTGCTAGAAATCTTGGAGAAATTAATCTAAATTTAGGCAATTTTTCTATCCAGTCACCTGAAGTCCATGAATCTGTAAGATTCTTATAAAGAAACATTTCTTGGACCGTGTAGGAAAGCATCTGTTAAACTATAGAGTCTCTAGTTTCTTCTATAACCAATCAAACAATATCTACTGCATTTACAGAGAGCCTGGAGAATGAAGTATGAACTGCCCATATATTTCACCTGTGGCTGATACTGTGTCAAAATATATAACACTATGATACTATTTAAAATGTATAATACTATGATAATATTTGTTTATATATAAAGTATTTATTTAAAATGTATGTTATTTCCTATTTTAACCAAATATGTAAGAAGAAATTGTGAAGCTTTACATTTTACAGAATGATAAGCAATAGGTCTATTAAAATCTGGTGTTTAAATTGACAAGTTTGTAGAGGGTGGGACTGGGCATTTGCTATTAGCTTCATTTTCACAGGTAGGAGTGTTATTCTTTGAGAATCCAAGCCAGTGGGTCACGGAAGGAGAAGGTAGCATTACCTCAGTGTGCTCTTCATGACGACAGAACAGCTCCTATTAGCCACTGACTTAAGTGGAAAATCTCCTTGCAGTTCTGTTCATCTTAGTCATCCCCCTTCCAGAAATGTATTTATTGCCTGGAATCAGGATTTGATAGCAACTGCAGACAGGTTCCTATTGCCCTGAATATTGTGCCCTGCCATCCACTATATTGGCAAGGGTATCCTATACCATACCATCTCTTTATCTTTGTGCATCTTGTGTGTTACACTCACCCAGTGTGCACTAGTAAAATATACATTATCTCCATTGGGAAAAAATTTATTATTAAGACTGTTTTAAGCAATAGGTGAAAAATGGAGCAAACATTATTTTCTGAGTGAATTGAAAAAGCGTCATAATTTGTATGAAATAAGGTCATGCATCTACACAGTCTAGAATTATTATTATTATCAGATCTTTTTTTATTCACATCTGAATTTTCTGCTTACCTGTATTTTAGTTCTTCACTTGCTAGAGAGAAGTGGTCATACAATGAATACGCCTCATTTCCTTCCCAGTCTTTCAGGTGTATTTTAAGAACATAACGCTTCTGATTAGTCAGTTGAGAAACAAACTCATTTCCCAGCCAGTACTCCCCAGCAGGATCACCAAATCCCTGTAATTCAAGTTGTATATTTAAACAGCTTTGGTTTTGTTTTTTCTTTGAGTTTGAAATGATCACTTTATCAGTTTTTAAGTTTAAAAGTTTTCAATCTGTTAACTAAGAATTTTACTGTGTCTGTGAGGGTTATAGATCTGTAATATTTCAAAAAGTTAATTTCAGAACTCAGGAATCTGAAATAGTGAATCAGTATTACATAGTGGATTTGGAGCAGTTTCTACTGTTGCCACTAGAAACACAAATATAACTAACTCAAAAAATGTGGATATATCATGGAACAGTTGATTAAAGAAAAGTGAGGTTTCTCTTTAAAAACAAACATCACACTTGCAAATCTGTTTAGGCAAACAACTTACACTACTCTGACATTTCCTAAATGAACATCTAAGGACAAAGACAACTTCTAAAACCTGCTTACATTCTAAGGATGCTATTATAACTTTATTATATCAGATTTCAGAAAATAATAACTAATATTAAGGCTTCAGAAAACATTGTTTACCATCTTGTACTCCTTCCATGTCCGGTGAAAGTCTACACTGCCATCTTCACGTCTCTGAATAACGGTCCAACCTCCTCCACCAGTTTCCATATCACAGTAGGCCTACCAGAGTAAGCATGTAACAGCGTAAGTGCATGCAGTCATGAGAAAACAAAAATACAAAGCATGTACTTTGCATAATTCTATACAGTGGCATGTTTTAAAGTGCAAAATGCGTATTAACCTAAAAATGCTGTTTTTCATAGCTTTCATACAAATCAGTTGTGGTTGTCCACAAATAAATGTGATTCCTCAATATATATCACACTTAACAGAATACAAATGACACCTTAAAATAGCTGATAGCTGGTGTTAAAGGAAGAAAGAAATGAAAGTAGCTTCTGATTCCCTCTTGCACTGATATTTTTGTGAGTTTCCTGAAGAAATATTTATCCTGAAAGATGTTACCACTTCTCCAGCTTTTTTGTGAGAGATCCATTCAAATTTCCCATGGTTTGTCAGCATTATATTCAGGCAGTGAGCAATCTGAAATATGTTTTTATTTCCATTGTCATTGTCCAATACTTTTGCAGATAGTCTGACCCCAAAATTAAATCTAGGTGTAGAACTATTATTCTCTGAAAGTTAAATCTTGAAGTCATGCTGTTATATATACAGACTGCAATGAATATCTTATATTCTAGAACAAAAAAGTAACGACTATAAGATGTTTCCAAATATTCATAAATCATCTTTGATTTTACCAAATTATTGGTAAACGTTTGAAAGAATTGACACATAATAGGCAGTTCACTGAACTCAGTTTTAGAATTGCCAATAAATGCATCCTGGTGTAGTAAAATTCAAGTTTATATGTGACTTGTTCAGTCAATCTCCTCCTAGATTAAAATAGAAAGTGACTGATTTAAATAGAATTCTGGTGTATGTTCACTGCAGTGTCAGAGATAAAAGGTATTAGTGGGGGTGCCAATATACTGTGGAGATGCTGATGAAAAAAAATCTTTTGAAAATTTAGAGGGAATTTTGGAGTGATGTTTGGGAGACATAGTGGATAAATTAACAAGCAAATCTTGTGAATATGTGAATATTTAGGGCCATTTTTCTTGAGAAAGGATTTAAAATTGTTGCATCTAATTCTGCTTTTCTGAAACTAGCAGAACTTAAATGTACATGTGTGAAGTCAGTGGAGCTAAGCTGGTGTCAAACAGTATAATGAAAGTCAAACTGAAATCAGTATCTATTTAAATTCATGTTAGTACCGATACTAACTTTAAGAAAAATCTTAAATTTCTTGTACAAATATTCCTGTTTGGAGAGTTCACAGTTAATGCTCTAGGCTCTCTCATTTGGAAGTTTAGGGTTTTTTTTTTTACCACTTTCTGCCAAGATACTGAAGTTCTGAGTCTTCTTCAGAATTATTTCACATCTTTGTGAAGTTATAGCTTAAGTATTAAACTACATTAATTTCTAATCTGTATTCTAGATCTTTCATCAATTAAGTGAAGTTGCATCTTCCCATTTACAGTAGTGGAGCCAAGATTTCTTATACTTTGATAGGCTATTTCATCTGTACAGATTAATTAAAAAAAAACAAAAACAAAACCAAAACCACCTAGACCTCAGCGTTTAATTTATGAATTTGGATATTTCCTTCTTCTGTGGGAGATTGTCTTACGAGTGTTAGCAGTTAGCAGATTTGAGTTCTTTGAACTGTTAAACATTCCTTGAAATTAATTGAAAAAGTACAACTTCAGAGAAGCCAGAGTTTCCTTCTGTCCTGTGGCAGTGTTTTGTGTCATTTTAGGAAGTAAAGTGTGCTCCTTACTAAATTTTCAATGTAGTTGGCTCTTTTAGGGTATCCATGTATTTCTGTATATGTGTATTGTACATATGTTACAGACACACACACATATATTTACATAAATCAAGCAGGGTATTTACAATGCAAGCAGTGGCATATATACTGTTCAAAGGCATCAGACTTTTGAAGGGAAAGCAAGCCCTTAGAGCTGCAAATATTAAATGTATTAGTGTTTCAATAGGCTGTAACACATTGGGAATCCAAAGCAGATACTGTATTTTAAAGTTGTATCTAGAGTCTTTGTTCAACATCAAAGAATCGTGAGACATTCAACTGGAGATTTTTAGGAAAGATAAAGGAAAGATGGAAAAAAGTTGGATTAGGGATTACTTGTCAAAGTATGTCATGTGAACAGAATTGAATTGAAAGCAGCAACTGCTGTATGCAATTCCTTGCACCTCAAAGCCTGTTTTTTGTTTGTTTTTACTAACCTCTGTATTTAATGACTGGTAAAGATATGGTAATAGTATATAAATTAAATTTAGTAAATATAATTTGTTTTTATTTTTATAAACAGAAGGTTGAAGATAAGATATTGTAAAAGATAATCAATCTGTTTTAGAAAGCTGTCATGTGATATGTAATGCATACGTGAAAATTAATTTCCACAGGAGGCTATGAAAAGGGATACTAGGGATAGGCTAAAGCAGATGCAGATACTTTTACTAAGTATCTCTGCGAGTTAAAATGCTGATTTAACAGTGGTCAAGTATCATTGGTTGTAGAGAAAGTTGTTGACTCTGAAGCTTCACCCCACTGAAAGGACAGTATAAGCAGCCAGATTGAGAATAGAACTGTTTCACCCTTCTCTGAAACATGTAGTTTTTAACTACTTAGAGAGAGAGGCTGGGTGTTAATTTACATGGGCTGCTGGTCCAGTCTAATATTGCTATTGTAGATGTTAATTGATGTTTTTGAATGTTACGTACAATTTCCTTGAGGTCTATCATCTAAATTTCAATTTCAGCTGGAATTATTACTTTGAAGATATAAATGCCTTAAAATAGCACTTTATTGAGTTCTAATGAGATTAAAATATTCTTAAACAGTGAATGACTGTGAATGTCTTACATAAAATATTCCTGTTATAACCAGTATCCATTCTATATGTGAATGGTAAGACAACTAGCTTTTATAGACACTATAGACACCACAGACTCTTTGGGATAAATGCTGGGGTACTGCAAATTTGTTCCCAAAGGGAGAAGCAATTTAGTAGGAACTGAAACACATAATAAAAATTTGAAGAAGAAAAGTCCATAAAAATCTCATGTAGATCTTTCTTACCAGTAACAACTTTATAAATTTTACGTAAATTTGGGAGTATAATTTTTCCACACCAAAAAATTTCATGTCAGTCATCTGTAAGTGCTTCTAAAAGGCCAGTTTATGGCCTTGGAAAGGGAAATCCTTTTCTTTCTTGAGTGGAAAGCGTGGCACAGGCAAAGGGAATGTACTGGTTACATCATCTCCTTCTAGTGTCATAGTAACTGTTCTAAAAGATGAGAAGATTATTGTTGTTTCAGGTTTCAGTGCATGGTTTCTAAATGCTGTGCTTTGTGGTTGCACACTTGCTGCCTTGAACTAGCTAAAAAGTGAAAATTCTTTTTACCACCTATTAGGTAAGCATCATACAGTGAAATGTTTTGCTTTCAGCCTTGACTGGCAATCCGGAACCCTACCTTTCAAGACCTCACATATGCAGCTTTGCTCATGAAATCATTCCTTTGCTTTCCAGATCATTTCCCTAGAAATCAATTCTCTGACTAAACAAGATGACAATACTTACTGTAAAACTAGGAACTTCAAATTTACATACACATTTGATTTTTAATTTGGAAAAGAATAAAGTCAATGAAGAAAAATGGCAGTAAAGATTACCGAAAGAAAATTAATGAAATAAGTTGATATATTTTTATTACTTTTTACTAAAAATACTTAACTGAATTATGTACATTCGTAAGTAATTTTAAGGATGGAGATAGGCTATTCAGTAAAATGAAGATTAAGGAAAGGATTTGCTTAGTTTAAACACAAATTGCTTTGTCAGTCTGCAGAGGGAACAATTTCTTCATGATGTATGTGAAAGATGAGAGGAGAGGAAGCATTTATTTGGACTATAACTTCTTTTTTTAAAAAAATCTTCATTCTCCAGTAAAATGATATGCATATGAGGCTTTCTCTAACACTCATTACCAGAACAGAACTTTTCTGACCTTTCAGCCTAGCCTAGGTTTTATATTCAAAAGGAAGACATGTAACATTTCATAAACTAGTAAAAATAGATACCAAGATTAGGCAGGCAGCAGGAGTCTTCAAACAGATGCCAAAAAGAATAAAGAGATTAGCCTCTCAAATTACAACAAATTGGCAGAGGGAATATTTGATTTATCTTGTGAACTGCTTCACTACTTACAGTTCTAGCAGCTGTAGCACTGTGAGAGCTAAGGTCAGCTGCTTATATTTTTCACCTTCAGCTAAAGATCAGCGCTGTATTTTTGAAAATGCTGTAAGGTATGTGTAACCAGAATTAGTCCCTTTTCTAAAGATTATAAGCACGTAAGCTGTGAGAGTCAATTTGATGTCTTCACTGTCTAGGAAGTTGACTTTCAGAGCAAGTGATTTTTCTTCTTTTTTCTTGAACATTAAGATATTTGGGGTATAAGTCTTTTCAGACCTACTTTCTGAATGGTAAGGCTCTGGCTGAGTTAACAGGATGAAGATCCACTACAGTTTTTATACCAAAGCAAGCGTGGTTGCCACATCTGTGCAGTTTCCCTTTGCCTCACTTTTGGCTGTTGCTGAACACTTTTGAGTCATGATGTTCAAAGATTTTGTATTCTGCTATCTCTAGCTCCTAGAGATGTAACTAGATAAGAATTGCGGTCTTAGTTTTCTTGTTCTGGAAAAAATAACTACACGCGTGGCTTATAATGTAATTTAACTTAATACCAGTTACTAGTGAAAAAGACAGATTATGAGACTTCTAAAATTCACAAAAAAACCCCTCATCTGACCTCTTACTGTATTGGAGAAGCTACACATATGCTCTTTTTTAATGCTTGGGATCAGAAACAATTTTGTATGTGTATTTTAGATGTAAGATCCATGGCATGGGCTCCTTTTGAAATGACTAGCTAGTTGTCCGGATGATCACTTTTTAGGGAAGTTATGCAAATCCATTTTTGTTGGTAAATTCAAACTTGCCCAAAACACTTTCTGCAAGAAAGTTTTGGTTAAAAAGGCCTTGGCTTGGAATGTGTGTTGATTCTAGGATGAAAATTCAGCTCAGCGGGGGTGGAAATGGGGAAGAGCTTAGCCACTGCTTCAGCCACTATTTTAAGATTTCGGGTAATATGTCGGTAATAGTTGTGGTAACGGTTGAGCTAATATATTAGCGTCATCCACACTCAACTATTCTGCCTGGTTAAGACCAGGAGGTTAATTGATTCAGGTAACTGCTGTAAACATGAAGCTATTGACTTTTCATGGGTTCGCCTCTGCCATTTTTCCGCGTGTCAGCAGTCTTTTGCTGTTTTTCCTCAGTGTTTTTAAAAGGACTTAGCTTTTGTCCTCGTGCAGAACAGGAAAGCTTGAAAGCTTGAAAATATTAATGGAATGAAATAATTGTTTTCCTCTCAGCTCTCGTATGCAATTCTTCAGTTTTGGATTATGATGGGAGACAAATTAGTAAAGTGGGATCAGTTACAGATTACACAGAAGTTGTTTATAAGCCTGTTGGGAGGTCAGAAGGTGTTACAAGAGGAAAAGACGAAAACATAAACAGCAGTGCAGCACTTTTGGCAAATAAAAAAGGTCATTCTGTTTCCTGGTCCGAGTGGCCATCCACATCATAAACAGTTGAAAATGGTGTAACGAGTTGATTATCCCTAAATCTTCACTTCCCTTGACAACTCCTCTTATGCATTTGTATTTGTATAAAAAATCTGCATCAGATTAAAACTTTTTAGTCTCTTATTTTTCATGTCATGCAAAACCTTCGCTGTCTTTTTAAGTGTCTTTTTCATTCTACCTGAAGTGGGCAGAATAAGATTAAAATTCTCTAATATTATTAAATGAATTATTAATTTAATTAAATTATTACATTTTAACTTCTTTTTTTAACCTAGTAAATTACCAAAATGGGTATTTTTTTTAAGCGTTTTAAGCCTCCATGTTCAAATGTAAAGCATTTAATATTTTATAGTCTAGGAAATTTGTGATTGTACTTTTGTTTCAGGGATAGAATATTTTGGTAGGTTTTAGCTTTGTAGAAATGTGTGTTGCTCTGGCTTCTCAGATCATAGAAGTTGCCTAAACATTTATGGCTCTGAAAATGCAGTGTTAAAGTTTATGACAGAAATTTTCATTCTGTAATATGGCATGCACTTGTGTCTGCTTTTAGAAAATATGCATGCTTTGTATATTATATTTGATAGTAAAATTAAAACCAAAGGTAAAAGGTTGAGACAAGTAATATTAAGAGATTCAAGGAATGTCACCCTTCCTGAGATGTCTAACAAAGACTGCTGCAATATATTACTTTAAAGGTACAGTAGCTTGCATCTCCTTTAGCATTTAAAATTGTGATTGTAGATATCTATGCTATTTAAATACCATTCTGCTTCATGTGTAATAAAACACTTTATTGCATCTTATGTAACTAATTTTTTTGTGAAACAGATGTATTGAATATAAACTAGACTATTCCAAAGGAAAACCAGTGTCTTTTTTTTTCCCCCCAAGAGAAGCAAACTGCAGATATCATCATTTCTCTAGATGATATCTGCAAAAATTGCAGGGTTTATGTATTGTATTTTATAGATCTTACCCAAACAAATTGTTTATTTCCTTTAGTTGAAAGCTTTGTAAGGGTAAAGATCACAAAGTCTGGCTTGGGCTAGATGAAGCACTGGCACTTCAAAGCCTAGTCACTGGTGAACTTAATTTCTAAACCTTTGCTATCAAAACTTGGGAAAAAAAATGCTTTCTCTGTCAGAGTTTTACCAATTGCTTTTCCACATGTCCCCTCATTTTCCTCTGCTTTTGTACATTTTCTGTTAGGTTTTTTCCCCCCAAGTATTTCTGATATAATAAAGTAGAGCCTTAGGAATCCCATAAAATACTTCATTTTTTTGTAAGGAAATGTTTACAATATGAAATTATAAAATAAAAACATTAGAAAATTATTTAGTGTTTGTCTAAGAAATATATTAAGCATTTTTGTTTATATTTGCCTTCTCAGCCTGCTGTGTCTGGAAACAAACGTTCATCATTTGAGCCCCTCTCCTCAGAATGCTCACTGCAGGTTTTGGTTCTTTGTCCTCACAATCCACCTGGGACTTTCCTCCCTTTCAGATTTTATTGATTGTTTCAACTGAATTATACTATCTGAAGCTTTATCATTTTATTTATTTCAGTAGATGGAGCATCTCTGTCAGGCATCCAGTGTTTCACCCACTGAGTGCCATTAGCTCAAGGTGTCTTCTATAGAGGTATGGTGTATTGCTTTAACTTAGATTGACATTGAAGTTCATTTCAGTTAAACACATAGCGGAAAAAAATATCCACAGAGGAATTTAAACTGATCTAGTGAAACTGCTGCAAACTCTCACCTTTTATTTAAATCAGAGCAGTATTTTCCAGGAAAGTCCTCTCTGTTACCCAGTGTGAGTTGTGCTGATCTAATTGCTAATCTAATTGTTACACAAATGCCCTTAAAATTCTGCTTAACAAAGAACTGGAATCCATTCACGAGTCCAATACTAGTAGATTGCTTACATGAGTACACACCCATGAGTACTCTTCCATGCCCCTGATTTTACCTCCTTTTGCCACCTGAAGGGACTTGGGCATATAAAGGAACTAAGAACTTAGAGGAGACAGGAGATTGCTGATCATACAGAGCAATTGTGCTGGAGTTAGAGATTTTATAAAGAAATTACAGTACTATATTGCTTTAATTGCATTAATTATGTGGAAACAAAGAATGAAATTCTGGCATGCTGAAGTGAACAACAAAATGCTCATTCGTTTCAACTGAGCCAAAATTTCACCTGAAGGACTTCCTTCTTCCTGTGAGATACTCAGATCTGTAAGTGATGAAATGCTCATTAAAAACATGGTAAGTACTAAACTTCACTATTAACTAGCCTTTAAAATAGCATATTTACCACATCAAATAACTTATTAACACACAGTATGCGTAGGTAGCACTTTATAGCCATCCTACCTTCTTTTCTTGTGCAGTGTTTGGAACTGTTAGAGTGTAGATTCCACTTGTTGTCAGTCCAGATTTGAAAGCTTCAGCACAGTCTTTGAAGCTGATTTGCTCCTCTTTAGCTATGAAGTTGTTCTTAGCTGCTAAAAATATTAGAAATTGAAGGCATTAAGAGGAGATGAATAGAAGTTACTAAGAAGCAATTAATGATGTAATCAGCTTAAAGCTTTGCAGTTCTGAAAAATATGCCTGGTCCTGAAAGAAATGACAGATCAAGGTATTAATTATGTGTGTTGTTACTTTATATTATTTAGAGACATTATTCTGATATGAGCATGGTTGCTTGATAGGTTGAAAAGTGATGACGCTTACTAATACATTGAGTAAGAAAACTTAGGATAGAGCATCTTACTGGTTGAACAGTTTCTGTTTCCATTCATTGCCTTTGCTGGACTCTTACATGCATTACAACCTCTGCATGCATTAACTACTATTAAAAACATATTTAACTAGCAACTGATGATATTAATAATGACCTTTGGCCAGTACTCTAAAATTATGAAATCTAACATAAGAGTTATGAAATCTTTGATAATACAGCTGACTGGAATAACTACTTTTATAAAGTTTTAGCTAGTTTTTCTGCCCCTGTGCTGAGCAGGAACGACTTTGTACGTACCAAGCTGAAGCTTGGTAGTTCAGCCCAACCCACTAAGGAAACAGCCTCTCTGGAATTCATTTGTGTAAAAAATACATTTTAAAACGCCTAAGCCTTCTTGTTTTACAGAACAATCTAAGGCTCATCTTTTTGTTCAGTTCTTTATTAACTATGGAGGTTGGAATTTCCTGGCATTTTGCCTGCTGACTGATATTTCATATTTGACCCTTTTGGGGTTGGTTCTGTGTATTTTCCCTTTTAATTTAATCTAACAAGCACAGCCAGTCAGTACAAAGTTTTAGGTGCCATATAAATATATCCTTATATTACAGTTGCTTATTATGTTCTTTCTAGCTTGCTTATTACTTATTTACCAGTTTACATGCTTTGCCTTAAATATAAAAATAACACGTTCAGTGTTTTAATTGCTTTTCCACACTCTATTGTTTGTATACCGTCTTAGAAGCTTTCCCTGCTAATTTTGTCTTTTTGGCAAACATTCATTATTTTTTCCACTCTGGGTTTAACAGTGTTGTAGCCAACATGACTTTGACTTGTTTACTGATTTGTGCACTAGCATAGCAGATAACATCGGCAGGAACATGTACAGCCTTGGTAATGGTATTTAAGGGAATAGTGTCAGTTATTAAGACAAAAAACTTGGGATAAAAACCTACATCATTATTATTTAGGATATTACTGAAAGCAAGGACTTCCGAACACCCTTTTCCTTTTTTGTGATCCAACTTACAGTAATGTAGCATAGTCCATCTATACTATCTTTTAAGTTGTAATGACAACTATATTAATATTTTCCTAGTATTTAATTTTAAATCCTTTTTTTAGAGGTTCTATATGCTTGTGTATTTCCAGCCCTGAGAACTTTACAGGCAAACATGCCAGATTCTTTACTCTTTTACATAGAACAGCTATACCTTCTTAATTTGTCAAAGTTCTCTCTCAGACATGAAATTCAAAGTAAGGAATTTGTTCATTTGTTTAAATCCTGTTTAGCCATAACCTTCAGCTTATGGTTTGTGTGGGTTTTTTGTGGACCGTGTGCATCTGCATAAATTCGGAAGCTATGCTCAGTGGCTATGGTTTGTTGCAGGGCTGTCAGGCATTTAGGGGTGAGGTTATTGCCTCTAAAATTTGCTAGGCTGAGGGATTTTGGGGATGAATAGGGAAGCTTCAGTGAAAGACTGGAGGACTTTTGGGAGTACCTGCTGCCCTGGGCTGGTGCTTTCTGTTGTTTGGGGCATACATAGGTGCTAAAAACTGGGCCAGCGCTGATTCCTTTGCCTTTAATAGCCACTAGAATTTGTCCTTTCTTTGATCAACTCTATGTGCATAGAGCAATGAGAGGTGGCAGAAGCAACCTTTGTGAGTCAGGAAGAAAAGCTACAGGCCTACATCATGCAGTCTAACCTAGATATATGGTGAAGGGAGTGTGTATTGCCAGATGAATGAATGCCATGAGAGATGAGTTATATTTGTCATCTCTGTATTTTGTTGAACCGCTGGAGAAGTGGGCAGGCAAACCAATATAAACCACAGAAGATGAGTAAAATGTTGAAAAGAAACCACACAAATGTTGTGGTTGTTCCCCCCCCCTCCCCCGCCCCTGAAAAATAGGTTAGTTAACTCAGATGCAGAATTTATGGAAAAAAAAAGAATACTTTTTGAGAAGCAGAAGTGTGGGGAAATTGGTTGTAAGACTTTATAGGTAATAATGTACACAAATTAGGGAGTGTTACTCAACTGATATAAACGTGTCTGCTTTTACTTACAGTTTGGTGTAGATATCATAGTAAGCAAGTTATGAACAGTCTCCATCAGATCATGTTGCTGTTTTTGCAGAACTGAGTTGTTTACTGTAGCTGTAACTAACTGTTTTTCTAGTTCTTCTATAATAGAATTCTGTCTGGCTACTAGGACTTGAAGCTGATCTTTTTCATCTTTTATTGACTTCAACTGAAGTGTGTGCTTGTCTTCCATCTCAAGAACTCTTTTTTCTAGAAAGCTAAATAAAAGATTACAATTAGGCTCCTCAGAAACAATTTTGAGCTGATGTCAAGAGAATCAAGCCTGTTGCAAAGTTTCGTTCTTCATAAGTACTCAACTTCATTCTCTGATGCCATGCATGCAGTAGAAAGCTAATGAAAGCCGACTTTAGTTTAATATATATGCTTTAATATATTATATAACTAATTAGTACATTAATAAAAAACATTATAGAGTATAGTCTCTATCGCAGGCTTTTAAAGTGTAACAATTGGGTGTTTGATAAGTCAACATTATGAAAGCAAAGATGCACTTGGGTCCTGAAAAAAGGATAGTAGTGCTAGAAGTACAGGGAGTGTAAAATGGATGTAGACCCAAAGTAACCATTACTTATGAATATGAAGTGTCTTGAATACCATTCTCTCAGAGTTTAGGCATAATAGTGAAGGATTTCATGTTTTATCCAGTCAAAAGATGAAAGTCATTAAAAGATGATCCTAGGAACTTTTCAAATGTCCTATATCATAATAAAATATATTCTTAACAGAAATGAATGTTACGGTGTTCAGACAGGGAAACCTGCAAATAGTTACTTGAAGATGTGTTCCCCATCTCCAATTCTGGAGCTGGTATGAGTAGATGAATGGCTGGAAAATTATTTCATTGGTAATTGTTCTGATGCAGATTCTGAGAAAGCTGATGTTAAAAAATGCATGGCCAGAAGAGAGAAGTTCATCTAAAATCCATTACTGTTACTGAAAAAATTCTTGAACCTTATAATTATGTTTCAAGCAGATTAACTCAATGTCAGATCGTCTTTTGTTAGGTGAGAAACAATGCTTTTGTGTTTACGTGGGTTTTACAAGGGTAGTCTAAAAGTCTGCTGAGTTTAACACAAAAAAAGTGACATTCTAAAATTCAGTATTTACTTTGCTTTTCATCTGATAAGGATGCTTGTTTTTATTAAGCTGGTAGATAAAACCTTTAGGGAACATATATAAATGTAGTAGAGTAGTGAACAAAAATGTCAAAACATGCCTCCTGTTTTTTTTAAGCTAATTCTTTTAAAATAAAAAGCACTTTGCACATATGGTTCTCATTGAAAAACACGGCTTTGAAGGAGAAAACTTACTGTTATTGCTGCTTTTAGATTTCTCTGTAAAATATTTATTGCCAAAAGTAAAATAAGATCCTGGTGATGTGAAAATGAAACTAGCTGAAGAAAGATATGAGCCTTTGGACATCAGCTGAGTACAGAAATGGACAGGAGTTGGTTATCGGTCTGAATTTCAAAAGATTGACTAGTAAGAAACATTGAATATGAGTGGTATTTGACTTTTCTGACCAGGTTAGAAAAAAATTGTGGCAATGACCTGATTGTGTATTAGGATAGCTGTGTACTACATGGAAATAAAATTTTAGAAATGTGGTTGCACTGGGTTAGTTTGAGTCAGGCTACATAATCCATAACTTCATCTGGGTAAGTCTAAAGAATATGAATTGGCTACAACTGAAGTACTGAGAAGTATTTCAGTTTTAACCTTAAGTTTCTCATATAAAGAAGAACTTTAGATAGTGAAGAATGATATAGAAACAGAACACAAGAAGAATAAACCTGCATGATTCTCTAGGCCTTAAATAATATATGACCTTTGTAATGAGCATAGCTGGGTGTGGGGACCTTCTATTCAAGGCCTTATTTTCCTACTTGAGTACATTGGTTTCTAAAACCATTAGAAGGGCACTTCAGGGAATAGTGTTTTATTGGGTTGATAGGCAAACTTACCTGTTTTTTTCTTGTAATTTCGTTATCTCGTTGGTCTGATCTGAAATCTGTCTTTCTAGTTTGTTTGTTGAAAGAGAGTGTTCCAAAAGCTGAAGTTCAAGTCTGGTTGTCTGGTTTAATACCTGAATAAAATTTATAAAAATATTGGAAAATCAAGATACTTCTTCTAAATAGATTGTGATTTCTTTACGTTGTGAAATCATGCAAATCTCTACTTAAGCCTATAATTAAAAAAATATTTTTGAACACTTAATTTGGGCACAAATGGTCATAGAATTAGAACAAAGACGAATACACAGAGTTGCACTAATTTTGTTGTTACACTACCAAGTATCTTTGGGAATATTTCAGTAGTATGCTACATTTCTGGTCAATGGCTGAGAGTTACTGTGTACTTTAGTTTTGCTGTCATACCTTCCCCTCTGTTACGATATTCTTATTTCATTACTGGAACTATTATGCTTGTTGTTCAGAGAATAATTTGAGTTGTTTTCTCAATGTGGTGTAGAAAGAAAGTATTTTGCATCTCTCTCACTGGCTGAAATCGTGGCCTAGTCCTGAAATCGCTAGGTAGTTCCCTTTTAGCTATTTTCCTTAATCCCAAATTATATTTTAAAGTGTTTATTATATGACCACACTTCTGTTGACTCATTCCTTGCATTTTAATGTTACCTTTTCTATATGTATTGTTTACTGTCTAAATTTATTTGCACCTCTAAATGAAGAAATGCAGATATTAGGAAACATGGAAGATACTTTTTGGTTTGTATCAGATTGCATTACTTGAGGCATGTTTTCTAGAAATATTTTCTCATTGTTTTAGAACAGCTTTTTTTAATTCAGTAGAATTTGGCTTTCGTTGGCAGGAAGAATTGATTACTCATGTCCTTCACGTTAAATAGTCATTCAGGACATGATTTCACACTTAAGTGTAATTGAAAACTATTGCCAAAAGTAAGTGTCCTTGAGAGAGCAATTGTTTGGTTAATTTCCTTATGTTGTTAATTAAGCCCTTAACCCAGTCACCAGTAATTTTAAGCAGAGAAGGAAAGTTACAGTGATGATTTTCTTCCTCTAATCAGAAAATAATTGAATAATTTCCATAAAGACATTACTGTCAATGAATAAATACATTCTCTCAACATGTGCAAAATACTGGGCTCCTGAATAATACAATCAGAAAGTTGAATTTAGCACGCCTGTGAGTTACGAACTATCAGTTTATCAAAGAGTTCAAAGGCTTGTTTTAGGTTAAAAAATGTAATAGAATCATTGGTTGAATTATACAGATAGTAAAATGTCTAACAAGGATTTTAGGTTTTGCATGCTATTTACATTATATAAAATGTTATATGCTACATACTACATTCACTCGTTCTTTTGGGAGTTACATATCTGAATTTTCCTACCATGTTAGCAAAACTATAAATACACACCTTTCTACATGGATTGGACTTGTCCTTAGAACATATTAAAAATTACATTGACTTTCACAGAATGCCTTATTGTAGTTAATGCTTTTCAATTAACACAATAATTAAACCCATTACATTTTTTTTTGTTTGAAATCATTTAGAGAATAATATGTACAGTAGGCAAGTTTACTTCTGTGTGAATATACTTTTCTAGTAGCCTCCTTCTAATTACTTTTTTCCTGATTCATCTCTGGTTTATTTATTCCTCTGATAAATAACAATAGTTAACAATAAATAGCAACAAATAACAAACTATAGTGCATTGTGCTGAAATGAACTGTTACCCCACTTCTAGTATCTGTGAAAACATTCATTAAAAAGATGCATTTTTATTGATAAAACAATTTTAAAAATAACAAAAAAATTAAATGTAAAAAAGCAATTAGCCTGGTAAGTGGAACAAAGGCAAAGTTTGAAGGAACTCTCCTTTAGCTAAGATCTGGTGGTGAGAGGTGAATAATCAACAGAGATATACAACAAGGGTTGTATAAAAGCATACTAGTACCCAATTGATGCTTGGATATCTTCTAGTATTTTAAAGTACATTATCTTTAAAGATGAATGTAACAATTGTCTTGCTGGACATACTTCAAATCCTGCTGTAATGGAAGTCTTTCAAGTGACAACAGTGAGCTTGAGATGGAACTATGTATTTCCAAATACTAATGTTTCCTTAAGGTGGGCAGAGCTGATGATTATAATGATTGGCTTCTAATTGTTGAACTGAATAGCGTAACACTAAACTGTGTTAAATATATAATTGTAGGTGTTTGGGACGCAGAAGCATTTTTAGGTTCAAATTCATTACTTACTTGTGCTTCAACATCTGTTAATTTGCGGGTCTGTTCAGCTGTTTGATTTAGTAAGTTTGTGCCTATTTCAATCATTACTGCAGTCTGGTTCTGCACTGCAGTTTGCTGGATCTCTACCATTTCTTTCTTCATACTGTCTTGGATGTAATTCTCAAGCTACATGGGAAAGGAAAGAGAGAAGATAGTTGCATTCTTTAAATGTTGGAGGGGGGGTAGTACAGTAAGGCTGCTGGCTGCCTTGCTAAACAAATTTGTTCCTTGTCTGTTATGCATTTATGTGAAGTTTCCCCGTTAAGCTCTGTGAGAGGAAGGGCAAATATGACAAGGAATGTGTGGCCACTCGTTTTCTAAAGGCAGGGACAGAGATTTGCAGGGATTTGTAGGTAGAAGGCGCAGCAGTGACAATGCTTGCGGGCACTTGGAAGCTTTTCTGCCTTAGTGCTCCCACCATTGTAACCATCAGAGGAGCTTCACCAGCTTTGGCAGCGATGGGAATTTTTTAGAAGACAAAAGCTTAGGAGTTTAGTCATCTTCCTGTATCTAGACTTAAATACTTTCAAAAGCATTTTTCATCACATGGCTAGAAGTCAGAGAAGAGGTCAGATGTCATTTAACACTGTTGTGTGCACATTTTTATCAGAGAGAATTTCAAATAAAGACATGAAACAGTAAGAAAACCTATAAATACTTTAAATACTTAATATTTAGGAATGCAAAAACTGGTTTAAATACTTGATTCCAAAGTAATTTCTAAACTAATAAGGCTTTTTTTGGTAGTCATTTTGTAAGAGAGTACACTGCTTTCAAGGAAGGCAATGAGAAAATTAATAGGAAGGAGAAAATTTAGATAACCTTTTATGAAGTCTTTCTTTCCACATGTCTGGATTATCCAAAAGCAGTCTGATTTTTCTCCATGCTTCTTTAATATCATTTTCTCAATAACTTTGCAAATATTTCATATTTCTTTCATGAGTCATTGCTTACGTTTGAACTCTCTGTTAAAAATCCCAGCCACATGATTTCTTTTTTTCCGTTGACTGGCGAAATTTCTAGAAATTTCTAGAATCAAACTTCTACTTCACTCCAACATTGTTCTAGCAAGAGAACCATAATGATTTTTGAGCTTCATGCTGTACCTACAAAAAGGATACTAGCTAGTAACAAATAGCTAGTGTCATTAAGCACATGTTATAAAACACCACCAATACCTATCCAAGTAAAATGGTAAAACAGGTTGATTTTTTAAAAAGATTATTTTGAGAATACAATCTTCATATGAATAATGGCTTGTAATGAGGAAGAGCCTTGAACATTATTGTATGGCCATTTTCTACAGCAGTGAGGAAAAAGCAGCTTATGATTTAATATTCTACCAAGCCACTTTTCAGATATAGTCATTCCACTTCTGACCAGCTAAAGATCAGTTGCCAGATCTATCAGCTTGGAATGTTTCCCCCTAAAATATTACTGGAGCAAGGACTGGATTTTTTATTTCTGACTTCACAGTTGTTTTGTAAAAGTGACAAATGAAGAAAATAGGGTGTAGTAAGAAGTTAAAACCTCTAAAACTGGAAGTATATTCTTAGTTTGTATTAAGCATTATTTCTTTTCATCCAGTGTGACCAAACTTGCAAAGCAGTATTTGTGTGTTCACTCCATTCTCCCCATGCAGCTGGTGAACTGCAATGCACAACAGAGATTTCAGGTCTGGCACAAGCTTTGACCCACATCTACTATACTGCTGCATAAGTGTACTTACTTCCCAGATGTACCACAAGGATTTAAAAGTAGCCTTTAGAAGCCTTTAAGTATTCTTTGTGTAATAAGCTCTTTGAATACTAGAAGTGAGCATAAAATCAACTGGGTTTTGGCATGATAATTTAACATGGGTATCTTCAACTGCCATCACACTCTGGCAGTTGGAGTTCTTCCCTATTCACAGGATCTGTCCTTAAATGTTACCTTTTGCTTCTGGATATTCCTTATTTTCAAAAGCTTCCCCCCCCAGAGACAAACCTAATTTGACCAAACATGTTGGAAATTTTTAAACTTTAGTGACATCTTTTAGGTCAACTGTTTCTTTTCTGTTGAAGTAAGATCAGTGGCTTTTAACTGTGTAGTAACAGTAAGGTATGTTTGGTCCTTGTTGATTAGGCTGTAAGATATCAGAGCATAGTGATCATTTAATTTAAAAAGCAGTGCAAGATAGTATTTAGTGCACCATAGTCCAAGGAGATGTGCAAAATTCTGAAGACTTTTATGTAGATAAAAATAAGTAATTTTTCACTAAAGTTAGATGCTGCTCCATGAAGACCAAGAACAACAATTAATATCTGTCCCTCTGAAAAGGCTAAACATCTGTGGATTAAACAATTTATATGACTCCAAATTAACTTTAGCAACTGAAGCTGGAGAACTGGACATCATTACAGACAACTTGGAAAAGACCTTTTCTCAAATGCACCTCTGTTAAAAGAAAACGGAGATCTCCAGAATGCATTTTATTTGCCTCAGTATCACAGTATTGTAAAGCCGTTATAAAGATCAAGGATATGGCCTCGCCTGGCAGACTCAATGCACATCTGCAGTTAGAAGGAACACTGAGGAACAAAAAAAGGGACATACAGAGAAAAAAAAGGGGTGAGACATCTCAGGTATCAGAGAGCTACCATATGAGAAAGCATTGAAAATATTGCGTCTTTTTTAATTTAGAAAAAAGGCCCACAAAAAGAAGAAAGGCGGCAATAAATAGATGAACAAAGGAAGATTGATCAAGAGCTTTGATTCTTTCATAAAATAATTGTGGATATTAAACCTCATTCTTCAAGGTTGGTTTCTTGTTCACTGGAGAGAGATCAGAATGAGAATCTGAGCAAAGTCATCTCCGCAAATAGGATTACAGCACTTCTTTGAAAATGTTATCACTGAGTTATTCCAAAACACACTACTAGAAAATGAGTTAATTCTGGGCTTAAAGGTAAGGTAAACATTTTACGGTAGGCTTAGGCAATTGCCCAGTTAAAACCTTACACACAGCTGTAAGGTTGCTCCGATTACAGTATGCAAAACCTGTGATTACAATATAAGGCATCTGGTGGTTCTGGTTGCCAGATTTTTATACCCCTTGTCACTGTGCTAGCAACCTTAGAAATCAGTTTTGTTTGGACACACAGATCTGCATTTTCATAATTTATCTTATTTGAATATCTGTAAGTATAAGCCTATCTCCGAGTATCTAACCTCTTTCAAATAATGTCTCATTCATGTGATATATTGTAAATTATTAAAGTATTCTCTTGACTCCAGTTTAACAGTTTGTCTTCACATCTGTTTTTCAACTTAAAAATATTAAATAAGTAACTTCGGGAATATGGTATTTGTGCTTACTTGAAAACATGAAATACGAACATCAAAAGGGATTTATTTTAAGATTTAAAGCCAGTTTCATGATCTGCCTCATTTATTCTAATTTAGAGCAACATGAAGCATCAAAATGATATTGACCTATTAAGTGGCTTTGGAGCATCTTGTGGGGTTTTTTTCTCTAAAAATCCTACAAAGCATGATTACATAAACGCCTTGTGTTCTTTCCTTTATATTCACTAATCCCATCCCACTTTTGTGCATTCTCTGCATGTACGCATCATAAAATCTCTTTTCCTGATCCAAACCAAGATACGCACTCATCCCTCTTTGCTTATATTCCCCTCTCTCTTCATCATACAATGCAAAACTGTAGAAAGTAGGACTTTTTACAACTACATTTCATAATTTTTTTTAGTGGCAGGTGCTTACTTTCATCCTTCTTCAAAGATGAATAAAAGAATCACTTTCATCCAAAATGCCCATCATCTCCCACTGACCTTAGCGAGAGCAGAACATGTTCCCACTGCATACTCTCGGAAAGCAAGGCTCTTGGGTTTCCCTGAGAGGGGGGCTGGAAGATCCTTTTTCAATACAGGCTCCAGTTAAGGCAGCCAAGGCTGAGCTTCATCAACAACACTGAGGATTAGCAGCCATTTTGCAAGACTGCAGTTCTTTGTGGCATACTTTTTTGCAGAGTACTATTCATCAGCTCCTGCCAAGGAGCCGCCTTCCTTTATAAGCAGTAGCATACTCAGAATTTCTGAAGGGGGGAGAATGGCTTGGGGCATTTACAAGAGGGAAGGGCACAGGGATGAAATGCTTCAGTCCTCATCCATGAGTTCGGAAGCTTGGCAGTTTGGTTTGTACAGCATGTCTGTCTTCTCCAATATTTTGCTCAAATTTGGAAGGTGCAGCAGGGATTATTTGCCAGATTTCTTCTTTGCCACACGGCTAGTTATGGGAAGATAATTTTTAATCTCTTTTTAATTCAATTAATAGCTGGTGTGTAAGACTTGTGTTGATATATGTTAACCTTGATTACATGATGGTTATTTTGGACAAAGTAACTGTCAAAACCTAATAGCTGACGGTTAGTAATGCATCTTCTTTCAGAAATTAGGCTTTTGAGGGAGTAAATCAATCAATGAATCTTATCTTAAGGAAGTTGCAGGGGAGAGGGAAATTAATATATTTAGATTTGAAAGAAGGAATAGTTAGTTGATAGCATTTCAGTGATTCTTCGTGGGATTTTTTTCATGAAACATTCTATTTTTTCTGTAAGACTTTGGCTGGCATGTATTCTTGAAGAAAGTAAATATAAAAATGAAAGCACAGATGGGGAAAAAGCATGTCTTTTACAGTATGCTTAAATTGCAAAAACGGCTGGGAAAATTGAAAAAAATAATTTCACAATTAAGGTTTGTAATATAGTTATGGTGATGCATTTTTAGAGAGACAAAATTCTCTAAGGTCATCAATTTGGGGCTGTTATGCTTTATTACTTCAAATCATATAAAATCATAAAATTTGACAAAAATACTTCAGCTAAGTTGCCAAAAGAACAAGGACAGATCAATCATATTGGAGCACATTCCAAAACATTGCTTTTATAGCCAAGATTGTCTTTTTTTAAGCAAGCTTTAAATTGGCAAGAAAGAAAAGACAACATGTAGAGTATGCATTAAAAGAAATTTGTTTTCTAACCATTGGCAGAGACAGTATTAATCCTTTGTGAAGGGTTGCCAATGCTTATTTAAATGAAGAGCCTTCCTGATTGCTATTGTATAGTT